CGCAAAGGACTGCAGGACGGCGTCGCGACGCCCTGGCTCACGCAGTGCCCGCAGCGTCTCCGAGGCCTGGTCGGCGGAATCCCCGCCTTTCCGGATCTGGTATGACAAAGCGTTGTGCGCGCGCTTGTACAGCTCCTCAGTCACCTCGGGGACATCCGGCGCTGCTGCCTTTGACTTCGCCGCGCGCCTCGCTTTTGGTTTTTGCTCTTTTTTCACGTCCGCAGGCTGCCTTTGCGGCCGCTGACTTCTTTGGCGCCATCGGTGACAACGGGCGGAAACAGCTGAGAGCCAAAGCTATCGAAGCGACACATGGTAACTTATATGCTTCTGTTTTTACAAAGCGCAAGCCGTGAAGCGCTTCAAAGCTGTCGATCGTGCAGCGACAAGACATGCGTCACGCAGCTGGCCCTTTTTGCGCATCGCAGCGGTCCAAAATGCATTTGCTTGCGCGCTGCGCGTGCGCACACAAGGAGTATATAGGGATGAGTGCTGCAAGACGCGCCGCGACTCCAGCAGCGCGCAGCATGCGGACACAGTCCGCAGCGTGTTCGCTCAGGCACTGTCGCTCTTGGGGGTAACTGCCGCTGGGCTAACTGGGGCCGCTGCACCATGCCGCGAGGGGGTGCAGCCTTCAGCTTCCTTGAGCGCGACCGCCAAGCATTTCTCCTGGTCGTGGAGCTCGATCGACTTATCCAGCAGCCACACTGCGTCAGCCCGGAATCGTGCGACTCTTGCTCGCCGCGACTCAAGCAGCGCTCCTGGTCGACAATGAGGCGCCGAATCTTCGACTCGATGTTGCTCAGGCGCTCGACCAGTGAGTGGTCTTCTGGCAAGCGCGCGCGCATGCGAAGGGCCAAGGCGCTCATCTTGTTGAGGCGGCGGACGCCGCGCTCTAGGCGCTGCATATGCACCGTCGCGTCGCTTGCCGGCAGCGGGATTTGTCCCGCGTGCGCGCTAGCGCTTTGCTGCTCCTTCTCTGCGTGGGCTTCCAACAAGCAGTCAGAGCGAAACCAATACTCGAGTTCTTTGTGGCGCTTCAGGACCTCATTCCTCGCCGGGCGAGACTCAAGCCGATCGAGATGTTCTTGCAACATCGAAGCTGGGGGGGAGCCCAACTGGGCCGCAACTTGCCAACGGCTAAGCCATTGGCCACGCCGCTCCGCAGCCACGACCACCTCGTGGCTAGTCTGCTTGACAAACGTGTGGAGCCATTCCAGCGCGCTCGGGCGGCGGCTTTCCGCGAAGGCGTTCAGAACAGCTTCGCGGCGACCCGGCGCACGCAGCGCCTCCATCGCCTCGGAGGCACTGGCGCCAGTGAAGCAGCCTTGCTGGATCTGGAAGGACAGCTCATCCGTAGCACGCTTGTAGAAGTCCTTTGACACCTCAACGCAGTCGGAAGGTTCCTCACGCGACCTAGCCGTAGATTTTCCGCGGCCTTTGCCTTTCCCTTTGCCGCGCGCCTTTGCAGCCTTCCGCACCAGGGCCGGCGGCTCCTCCTTGGCCTTTGCCGCGGCAGACATTTTGGGCGACATGTCCCGTGAGGCAGCTATTGAGCAAAACTGCAGGTGCTGGGCATGGGCGCAACTGAGACATGTCATGCCAACCCAATCGCGACGCACATTTTTTCACAAATTGTATTAATCGCGCGCTGCCATGTGACAAGCGTGTGAGAGATTGGCCAACACCGGGCATCCACGACCAAGGAACTCTGCAATCTTGTCCAAGAAGAACGGAAGGCCAGCGACGACATCCACGCAGGTTGTGTAGCCATCACGCGGCTATCAGATGAGCTGGCGCAAGCGCTGTCCACTGCGGCAAGAGCCGCCAAAGACTTGTGTCGCAAATGCGCCCGCAAGCACGCGCATATTTCACCCAGACTCACTGTCCACATGCCAGATGAAAGTTGCATCAACGGCGCATCTGCTTCACGTTCCAAATAGCAACGAGCCCATCGCAATATGCGACATCTCACCACCGTGGTCGAAACACGCTGCGTGGACATGCACAAGAATCTACCAGTATCCGCGCGAAATGAATCGCTGCGAAACGCAAAGAAATTTGTTCAACAAACTGGGATGAAATCAATCATGAGTCGTTTGATGAGAATAATTCACATTGAACATTCCAAGATGAAGGAGCTGAGAGCTGCGGCCATACTCAAGGTCGCTGCATTGAATGTGTGTCGAATCTCACAGTATGAGCAAATACATAACAAACATGTTTACCAATCATTTTTGTATTTTCTTGATATGAGTGTCAAACAAAATATTAATCACTCAAAACATAGTTCATCAATCATTTCCATTGTACTCGCAAACAAGAACCCACAAGCAGACAATATGGTGTTGATATGTTAAGAAGTAATCTCAGTTGACAATCATGCAAGTATGAAACTACATACATGAGAATAACACTGATCACAACCACTCATACATACATATGGATATGTCAAAACATGTGTATATAAATATATTCACAAATCAAGACTTCCCTACAAGTGAGGTCACGTGTACTCAGAATTGCAATCAAATCTGATCAAACTTCCTCAACATTTGAGAAATTTGAAAAATCTGAAAAAATCTGAAAAAATCTGAAAAATCTGAATCTGAAAAATTTAGTAAAGGAAATGATGAACATCTGAAAAAATTCAGATTTTTCAGATTTTTCCAGATTCTGAATCACGCAGACATATGTATGAACACCGTCTGAAAACCTGAATATGTATGAATCTGACTATCTTCAGTTATCTCATCAGTGGAATCTGAAACATACATATTGTATCAGAACATTTTCAGAGTTTCAACTATGTTCTGATTGCACACATGTGGCTTCCGTTGACAGTCGAAAACCTTTTTCACGTAATTTAATACCATTTGACTGGATAATGATGTAATACCAAAACAATTCAATGGTTTGTAAACTTCACATATTTCATACCATTACTTGGCTGTGCAAATCTGCAGAAGCATGTGCGTATATTCCCAACTCTTTTTCTTGTAGAGTAACTCTGTATTTAGAATCCTCAAAATCATTATCAGTCAAATGATTTGATAACTATCCTGAGGCGTGCTGTAATAAATATGGAAACATCAGTTCCAGTTTCAACTCCAAGGAGCATGGCGTGTCTAGTATCCTCCCAGTATTTCTATTTATGCATGACACGAAAGAAATCTCAGGTATTTGATTCATTAAGATTGCTTTCCATTCGTACCGGCTTGCCTGTCATATGTGTGTTGACTGCACACCACCAGGTCTAGTTGCATTTGATTTTGAAATCATGTGTGAGCAACAAGTGCGAGCACATGCTCGTGTGTTGCTTCTTGTGTTGGTCTCTCTTCAAGTCATGAACTCACAACACACATGTAAGCTTGCTGATTTCTGCACATCCAGTCAAACAACGTGTAGTAAAGCTACCGAAACTTGTGAGATCCTGTCAGTGGCAAGCAGGCAACACAGTGCATGTCATCATGAAGTATTAGACGTAATCATCAGGAAGACTAAGTTTCTGACATGGAATAGAGACGCAAACGATCCCAACATGTTCTGGCGCATACGTATTTTGGAAAGTCCACATGTTGCTTGCGCTTGATGTGTCTGAGGATCTCGAATTAGTTCTGGCACCAAGGTATGAAAATAGATGCACGCCAGAACAGATACGAATGAATGCGTTGCATAAGCATGTTAATTGGATCCTACGGGGGTCTCAAACCAAAGTGGACAGTTATGCGGCATGCCACATGCGCGCGAGTGTGCGTAGCAATGCACTTGTCTTTTGAAACATTCCAACGCAATATACGAGATCTGAAAATCAAAGCAAAAAAAACATCCCAGCCCCAGCGCCTTTTCATCTCACCACGCAGTCAGTGCAAAGGCGCCAGCGCCTTGCGGCATTGTGCCGCAAAGCGCAGCGCCACGAAACACTGCCGCGTCGGCGGCATGCCGCGAGGGGCGGCAGCGTGCCGCCTTGGGCGGCCGTGTGCCGCGCTCGGCGGCAGCGTGCCGCGCTGGGCGGCAGAGTGCCGCGCTGGGCGGCAGGGTGCCGCGCTGGGCGGCAGGGTGCCGCGACGGGCGGCAGCGTGCCGCAGCGGGCGGCAGCGTGCCGCGATTAACGGCAACACGCCGCGAAGGGCGGCAGCGTGCCGCGACGGGCGGCAACGTGCCGCCATGGGCGGCGGCAAAACGCCGTGCGCGGCAACATGCCGCGCGCGGCCACGCGGCCTTGTGCGCGCAAAATGCCGCCAAGGGCGCCACAACAAGGCGCCAAGCCGCTGCGGCAAAATGCCGCACGCCCGAGGTGCGCCGAGCGGCCGCGAGCCGCAATGAGGCGCCACCACGAGGCGCTCAAACCTGAACCCTCCAAAAGTACTGAAATTTCCGTACATGCAGAAAAAAAGTGTCAATGTACACTTTTGAGGAAATTTGACGGAAATCACTTTTAGCAGGCTGTGAGCGCTTGTGGTGCACTTGGATGCACATGAGCACAGTTTGCAATTTACACGGCCCGTCATACTTAGTTCCGTTTCAGGTCTTTCGTCTCCAATTGCTGTGGGGCAATGTGTGACAGCTTCCTTGCCGCTTTTGCGAGTTTGCAGTTTTCTCAGCCAACATGCAGAAACCGCAAATGCACGGAAATCGGCGGGAAATGCACGGAAATCGGCGGGAAAAGTACGGAAATCTGCGGAAAATGCACGGAAATCAGCGGAACATTTTCTTGAGGAAATGGGCACCTTTTGTCCTTGGTGAATTGCACACCTTCAAATGGTATGAGCATGACAATCTCCAGTGCCATGGCCGGAGCTGAAAGTGAGATTCTTGTAGAACAAAAGGTACCGAAATGCTCGTGTGTCTTATGTTGAGCCTACAAGAAAAGTACAGTTTTTGCTCAAATGTATGGATTTGAAGGAAATGCACGGATTTCTGCAGAGAGTCGCAAAAAAAGTGCCCTTGGTTGGTCCAGGAATGCGGCAAGCGCCGCAAAGCTGACGCGCCCTGAGGCGCAGTCAGCGGCCGTCCCCTTTCCGGCCGCCCTTCGGGCGCGCTTTCCCCGCGCGCCTTCGGAAGATGCCCTGCTCACGCTGCAGCGCCCGCTTTGAGAGCCTGAGTTGCTGGAGAAAAAACAAAAATTGTTTGGTCACAAACAAAAAGAAAACAAGAACACTTGCAAGAAACAAATAACCAAAACATAACTAATGCCTTGCCACGAGACGGGGGAGCCGAGGGCTCGCGCCTTGCCGGCGCGCTGTCTCCGCCTCCGCTACGGCTTCGTCCGCACGCAGAGCGCGCCGAGGCTTCCGAGCCAGCGGACTCCTCCGACGAGGTGCGGGGCCGCGCGCCGATCGGAGGCGGCCTCCGCGGCGGCGGCATTTTCGGCCGCATCTTTGGGCACGCGCCCGCGAAGATCCGCGGGCTCCGCGAGCTTCTGCTGCGGCTATACCGGCTTGCCGCGTCGTACCGACGACGCGGCGAGGCGCTCGGGCTATGCGGCCTCCGCAGGTCCCCTGGCCAAGGGGTCTCCTCCTCGTCCTCGATCTTTACCTCCACCATCTCATCCGAAGACTCCTGCCCCGGCACTTCGGGCTCTGGCAGCGGGGGCGGCACCGCGGCTGGCTTTGCCGCGGCCTTGGCTGCTAGCAAAGCCGCTGCAGGTCCCGCGGCCGCATTGGCCGCTGCAGATGCCGCTAGCACTGCGTCAGCTGGCGACGTCGTCTCATCTGACGAGCTCGTTGCCGCGCCCAGGGCGGCCGCAGGCTCCACCGCTGGCGGAGCAGCCTCGCCTGCAGGCGCGGCTGGCCCTGCCGCTTCCTGCAGGCTCTCGACCTTCACCGTGATCAGCGCCGGCGCCACCGCCGCGCCCTCCCCCGCCGCCGGAACCGCGGCGTTCACCGCTGGCGCAGCCACCGCCGCCGGCGGCGCGGCTACCGCCGCGGGCGGCCCGGCTACCGCCGCAGGGCGCTACCGGCCGCCGCCGGAGCGGCCACTGGTCGCTGGGAGCGTGGCCGCGGCCGCCGCCGCGGCCACCGCCGCAGGCGCGGCCACCGCCGCAGGCGCGGCCACCGGCCGCACCGCCGCAGGCGCGGCCACCGCCGCAGGCACCGCCGCAGGCGCGGCCACCGCCGCAGGCGCTGCCGCAGGCACGGCCTCCCAGGCGCGCGCCACCACCTGCGGCCCGTCCGGGACTTCCACCCGTCGGAGGTCGCCCCGCAGGCAGACGCGGCCTTCGCGGGTGACCAGAATGGTCAAGTCGCCCTCATCCACATTGCGCCCGTGGATCACCAGGGAAAGTGCCGGGGCTTCCTCCATTGCCACTAAAACGGCAGCGGCGGACAAGCAATCCTCACACGCAATGCGCACACGCACGCACACACGCGCACACCTGCAAAGCAACTGAAGGCGTCCGTGACAAATATAAGTTTTTATTTTTGCACATATATATATATATATATTCAAAATGAAACCTTTAATCAGAAAAAAAAAGGTGCGGTGTTTCAGGGAACGTGTGTGCATGATTATAATATATGTGTGCGCATATGTATATATATATATAGCTGCGTGTGTATAGATCTATGCACAACAGCACACATGCGGTCAAGCGCGCTGCCTCCAGTTTGCGCGGCGCTTCAGACGGTCGATCCTCCCTCTGCCGCGGCTTTTGCCGCTGGCTCGAAGCAAGGGCTGCAGGCGCCGCTATACCTCAATGGGGCGCCTCTTTTGCTGCAACCTGCCCCCTATGTGCAGACCGCCTTCGACCTATATATATACACGTATAAGATCCTAATGCCGGACGACCAGCTCGATGTGCGTGATCGAGCTTCTGCCTCCTCCCCCACGCATGCGCCGCCGCCTCGGCGGCGGCCGAGCCGCCTGCCGCGCGGCACTGCGTGGGCTGGGTCGCGTGACAGCGCGCAGAGCCATAGAGCCGAAACAGCAGCGCGAAACCACACATGAGCTGCATGCATCGGTCTGTGTGTGCCAGGCTTGCTGCAGGCAAGCATGAATGAACAAGAAGCTGCCGACGCCAGTCTAGACTCTATTTCGCGCTACTCTTTTCCCGCGTGTGTCCTGCAGTTGCGCACGCACCGCTCGCCGGCTCAAACGGCCCCAGCGATGCGCGGCCGGGCTCGCATAGACGCGTGCCCGCAAAATTGCCGCGCGAGCTATGCACAAGGAACCTACGTCGCACGCGCTATGCTGCGGCGCTGTGCTTCTATACCTACCGAGGCGCGCCATATAAATATATATATATATATATAGCCACGCACGGCCGCCCGCAGCTGGCAGCGACGTGTCTCCGCTTGCGCCTGCGCGGCCCGCTGCCGCGCAACTAGTAGCCCCGCTTCCGCCAACAGGAGGGCGTGCAGTTCGCGGCCCAGCGGCAACTTGTGCAGCCGCCCGCGAATTGCTGCCGCAGCGCAAGGGGCGGCGTCTTTTGCCACTTCTTTCTTGCAGGGGCGGCGGGGCGCGGCTTGGCTTTCGGCTTCACCGCCGCCTTTGGCCGCGGCCGAGCCGCCGCCTTCAACTTTGGGGCCGCCTTTGGCTTCGCCGCCGCCTTCGACGCCGCCTTCCCAGCCGGCCGCTTGAGAAGCACGCGGTCGCGTAGCTGACTCACAACATCCATAGCCGCGCGCCCCTGCTCATTGTCGCTCGCACAGCGCGAGCTGCCATCGACCTGCATGCCGGCGTGCGCTGCGGCCACCTCAGCCCGCGGTGGCTCCGCTGAGCGTGTGTCCGGCTCGGCTCCTCCGCTGAGCGCGGCCGCGAGTGGCCGCGCCACTGGCCGCGCGTCCATCTCCGCCTCCGAAGCGTCGGCCAGCGCTGCGCGCCCCATGACATCACGCACTCGCCCCGTGAGCCCGCCCGGCTTTCTCCGCGGAAGGATTTCGACCACCGGCTGCGCCGGCTGTATCCCCTGCAGCCCAAGCAGCGCTTGCTGCAGCATGGCCGCCGCAGCCTCCTGCAGCTGCTGCTGGCGGCCCGCTGGGTGCTGCGGGGCCCACGCGGAGCGATTCCCGCCGTCGGCCTGGCCGCCCAGCGCAAGCGCGCTATTCGTGCGCCTCATCGGCACGCGCGCTGTCACGCTGCGCACTTCCGCCGCAAAGTCGGCATCTGTGATGTCGGCGGCCTGCATCTTGTCAAAGACGTCCGTAAAAGTCGCCCCGTAGTCCCGCTGAAAGGCGTGAAGATCTTCCGGCAACCTCTGAACCCATTGCGTCGGCTTTGGGCGTGCCGGAGCACCCTTGCGCCAGAAGCACTTCACGTGCAAGAAGAGCTCGTAGGCGCGGCCGCTCTCGAAGGGCGCATCGTCTCCCCGCGCTGCAAGAAGCGTCGCCGCCATGACTCCGAACGTTTGCTCGCTCGGGGCGCGAAGACCGAGCCTCTCCATGAACCGCGTCATCTCCTCGAGGCGCGCGGCGCGTGGCCGCTGTAGTCCTGCAAGCTGTACGCGCTGAAGTGCGCCATTGGGGCTACGCCGCTGCGACAAAGGCCGCGCGGAGCACGCGCCGAAAAAAAAAAAAAAAAGAGTACGGCTGCGGCGCAAAGCAAGCATCAGCGAGACACGCATCTGCACATGCATCCCCTTAATTTCAACACAGCGATCTCATGAATATGCGCAATTTGCGTTTTCGCTTTGTCGTCATCCATGCCAAAATCAGGTTTTTCTGGGCTCTCCTCCTTGGCAGCGAACTTGAACTTATTTGAACTTAGTTGAACTTAGGGAACTTAGGGAACTTAGCCTAAACAACTTATAAGTTAGTTACAGTAAGTCTCTCAAGTTAACTTACGGTAGAACTTAGCACAACCTCTATAAGTCAGGTTACAAGGTCTACTAGACTTTAGCATAACCACCACACGATCTAGTTTCTCCAAACTTTCGAGACTCGGCAACAAAATCGCACCTCTGGACGGCAATCCAAAGCCGGATCCATTTGGAGTTGTGGTGTACGGTTTTTGTGGGACGCCACCGGGGTCGCATATGTCCTCTTGGGATAATTGAGTTTTCCATAAGCCCACTGCGGTCAAGGTGGACGCTATTACCCCGAACCCCCCCCCCAAACAAAGAAATGCCTAAAATAGAACCTGCATGGCACACGCGCAAAAAGGCAGAGAAAATACCCCGACTGCTGGAATCTGCCTGGAACACAGACCTAAGTACCCGAGCTCAACCCGCATTCGCGTGACTAAAAAGTGCAAAAACTCGCAGGGCCGCGAAAGGAGCGCCGCACCACTACAACACCCACAACCACCACCACCACCACCAACAACAATAATAATAATAACGACAACCACAACGACAACGACAACGACAACAACCGACGACAACGACGACAACGACGACGACGACAACAACAGCAACAACGACAACAACGACAACGACGACGACAACAACAACAACAACAACGAGGACAACCACGACAACCACGACAACGACGACAACGACGACAAGGACAACAACGACAACAACGACAACAACGACGACAACGACGACAACGACGACAACGACGACAACGACGACAACAACAACGACGACAACGACAACAACAACAACAACAACAACAACAACAACAACAACAACAACAACAAACACAAACACCAAACACCAAACGCCAAACGCCAAACAACAAACAACAAACAACAAACAACAAACAACAAACAACAAACAACAAACAACAAACAACAAACAACAAACAACAAACAACAAACAACAAACAATAAACAACAAACAACAAACAACAAACAACAAACAACAAACAACAAACAACAAACAACAAAACAACAAACAACAAACAACAAACAACAAACAACAAACAACAAACAACAAACAACAAACAACAAACAACAACAACAACAACAACAACAACAACAACAACAACAACAACAACAACAAAAACAACAAACAACAAACAACAAACAACAAACAACAAACAACAAACAACAAACAACAAACAACAAACAACAAACAACAAACAACAAACAACAAACAACAAACAACAAACAACAAAC